GAGGTGGTTCCGCTACCGAAACCCATCAGCATGCGCTATCATAAGGCCCAACCGCTGCTTTTCCTGCCGCCGCTGACGCCGACGACGTCAACGACGCCGACACCGGTGCAGACACCAGGCGGCGCTTTCCTGCCGTACGCCAGCGCAGCGTCCGGCGGCGGCGGCGCCGTTAGGCCCCTGACGCCAGCAGCTGGGCCCGCCAGCGCTTCTGAGGGCGGCGGCGGCGCCGCCGCCGCCGTCACCCCGGCGCCAGCGTCCTTGGTCCCCGCCACCTGCGCTCCCGCCTCCGCGCCTGCCTCCGCTGTGGCCGGCGGTGGCGGCGCCACCGCCGTCTCAGGTGCATCTCATGCAGCATCCTCGGCGCGTAAGCTACCCCACTCCATTTCCGCCTGCGTCGCGAACTGTTCGCACACCACCTCAACTAGCAAGCCCTCCGCCGCCGACGCTGCCGCATCCGCCAGCCTATCCTCATCACATGAACGCGTCACGACGCCATCCCATGACGCCTCCGCTGCCTCCGCCGCTCGAGCTGCGGTTGTTACCGCTCCCGCCACCTCTGCCTTCGCCGCTGTCGCAACCGCCACTCCCTTTCCCCCCGCCAGCAGCTCCACCTCCCCTAAACCAGGCTGCAGCCCCGCCCCCTCCGCCGCTTCTCCCTCCCTCCCACCCGCCTCTTCCAGGATTCCCTTTGCCTCTCCAATCCCGCCCTCCGCCGCCACCTACATAGCCTCCGCCACCGCCGCCGACAGCGCCACCTTACCAGCGGCCCATGCGGCCTGCAGCGGTGTGTATAGCAGCAGCTGTCACCTACCCCTCCATGCAGACGTGCTCTCCACCTCCACCCACGCCTACGCAACCAACATTCCGCCCAACCGCCGGTGGTTGTTCGGTAACGCCCCAGACGCCTGCCACATCAGCACCGGTCTGGTGGGCACAAGGCCCATCTACTGGATCGGAGAGTACGACAGCCGTACAGCAAAGTACGACATGGGAGGGGCGGTTGGCGCGGCTCCGTTGGACATTGGCAACTGCCTGTACGCTCCGGCGTGCTTCCAGGACCCGTATGTGGGTGTTTGGGTTGGGGTGTTTGGGTTGGGGTGTTTGGGTTGGGGTGTTTGGGTTGGGGTGTTTGGGTTGGGGTGTTTGGGTTGGGGTGTTTGGGTTGGGGTGTTTGGGTTGGGGTGTTTGGGTTGGGGTGTTTGGGTTGGGGTGTTTGGGTTGGGGTGTTTGGGTTGGGGTGTTTGGGTTGGGGTGTTTGGGTTGGGGTGTTTGGGTTGGGGTGTTTGGGTTGGGTGTTTGGGTTGGGGTGTTTGGGTTGGGGTGTTTGGGTTGGGGTGTTTGGGTTGGGGTGTTTGGGTTGGGGTGTTTGGGTTGGGGTGTTTGGGTTGGGGTGTTTGGGTTGGGGTGTTTGGGTTGGGGTGTTTTGGTTTGGGTGTTTGGGTTGGGGTGTTTGGGTTGGGGTGTTTTGGTTTGGGTGTTTGGGTTGGGGTGTTTTGGTTTGGGTGTTTGGGTTGGGGTGTTTGGGTTGGGGTGTTTTGGTTTGGGTGTTTGGGTTGGGGTGTTTTGAGGCCCTAACTACGGAGTTGCAGCATAGGGAAGCGGGACGGGGTAGGGGAGGGCTATTTATGAAGGCTCTACCACGTGGAGAGAAACAAAGGAGAGGCTCATTTCTATATGGAAAGGGACGGGGTCATGCGCGAGCTGACTTGCCCATTCGCATGCTCCCCACAATTCCTCGCTCCGCAGGGTCGCCACGTGTTGTGGGGCTACATGAAGGAGATCCGCTCCGTGCCCCCCGCACCCGCTCTGTGCGACAAGTACAGCTACGCGGGCTGTGTGTCACTGCCGCGTGCGCTGTACCTGCGGGGCGATAGACTCTTTCAGGTGGGTAGGGTGATGCAGCACGACGGCAGTGCGGCGTGTTAGATGGTTCACGTCTGAGCCATGTGACTAGCGTCTGAGCCATGTGATGGCGTGTGGGACGGATCATGATCACCGTGCAGCCAACGTACGTGCCGTACCTCATGTCGACCCCTTTGTCACCGCACATGTCGTACTGCTGTTTTTATGCTGTCATACGCCCATGTCGTACTCCAAACGTATTATGCTCACTTCACCCCGCAGCTGCCGCTGCCCGAGCTCACGGCGCTTCGGAGCGATGTGGCAGTGCACGCCAGCCGGGTAGAACTGACCCACGGGTCACCCTGGCGTCTCAAGGGGGTGCGGGGCCTGCATCTTGACATGGAGCTGTCCATCAGGCGAGTGGGAGCCTTTGCGTTTGAGGGGCTTGTCTTGGCTTGGGTTCAATTGGTTAAAGAGGAAGAAGTAACTAGGTGGCAAGGCTCCAGATGATGTCCATCAGGCCCGTTGTGGATTGGTTCAATAATGAGGGTATGGAGAAGGGTAAACGGGGAGGGGTCAAGAGGAAGAAACGGGGAGGGGTAGGTGGCTTGAGGACGGAGTGGAGCGGTGCGGGGTGGGAGAGGAACGCCAACTAGGAGTGTGGGGTAGACGCGGAACGGGAAGAGTAGCATGCTGGTTAGACGCTCCGAACCCGGTCGCTTAATACCATTGCATACATGATCCGCCTCTCCCACCTGGCTGATGAACTCGTTAATACGTACTGTGTCTCAAGTCAAGAACCCGTCTAACCCTCTTCCCACCTCACTGCCCACCCACCGCACCGCTCTCCTCCCTTCCCCCCTCCCTCCCCGCACAGCCCGGGTACCGCCCGCCGTACCTCCCTGCTGCTCCGCAGCTGGCGACCCGCGGGTCACGGCGCCGCCGCCCTCGTGTACGACTGGCCCAGTCGGCAGCTGCAGGTGGTGTTTGATGCGCTACAGCCGGGGCGGCTGGAGCTGTGGCGGGGGGAGGCGCCGCTGCCGGACACCCGGACGCAACCTCCGAAACCACTGCCGGAATCGCAGCAGCCTTCAAAGAACCCCACACCGCAATGGGTACAGCACATGCGAGCAGGAGACAAGCAGCAGCAAGAGCAGCAGGAGCGGCAGCAGAAGGGCAGCCTGCCGGAGGAGGCGGAGGTGCAGAGTGGGGACAGCGGTGCGGATGGCGACCTGCAATGCCATGCAGCGACGCAGCATCGGCAGCCTCTGCAGCAGCAGAAGGAGCATCAGCAGACGGAACCAGGGGAGCAGCAGAAACAGCAAGCGGAGACGCTGCAGGCTGGACAGCAGCTGCATGAGCAGCAGCAGCGACAGGCTCAGAGGCGGGATGGGAGCGAGGAGGCGGCGGCGGCGGCGGCGGGGGTGGAGGTGGAGGTGGAGGTGGAGGAGGAGGAGGAGGAGTTGGAGCCGCCCCAGTCGTCATTCAATGCGGGTGTGGAGGACTGGCTGTGGATGCGGAGGGGCATGGCGGGTGCGTGGGGAGGGCGGGAGGGTGCGTGAGAGGGGATAATAGATGTGCGCAGGAGGAGAAAGGCCGTGGGGTGCGGGACTCTTGCTAACAATACCAGTACAGTACCTTGTCAGTGCCGCAGGACGGTTGCGACCTCTCGACACGACTTCTCCGTGCACGCAATGAATCGAACCACGTCGGCACGTACAACGCTCCTCGGCCTTATTTCTCTGCCCCGCTGCCGCTATGTGTTTCATCCAACCCCACGGCTTAACGACCAGGGCTGCTCCCTTTGCGTCCTTTAGACCCTTCTCGCTTCCCCTGCCCCTCCCCCAATCCTCCCTCCCCTCCCTTGCTCCCCTGCCCTCCCCTCCCTTGCTCCCCTGCCTCCGCCCTCTCCCCCCAGGCGGCCAGCTGGACCTTCCCCCCGGCCAGCCTCTGCGACTGCGCATCTTCCTGGACGCCTCCTGCGTGGAGGTCTTCACGGGCAGCGGCCAGGTGCTCTCCACCCGCGTGTACCGGGGACACCCGCCGCACCCCCACCCCCACCCCCACCCCCACCACATACACCACCATGGTCACCGCCACACCCCTAACGGCCAGCAGCAGCACCCCCACCAGCACCATGACACCCTTTCCCAACACACACACCACCAAGAAGGCCAAGGTCATCATCTCCAGCCGCACCAGCAGCACCCCCAACGGCAGGATCACCAGCAGCACAGCACTGGCTCCCATCATCACCAGCACTCCGCAGCTGAACCCGAAGCCTCCGCCGCCTCCGCTTCCCTCCCCGTGGAGGGCCCCGTAGAGGCCGCCGACCCGGGTATCGAGCTGCACGCAGTGGGCGGCAGCTGCGTGATTGACGACCTGCATGTGTATGAGATCGACAGGGCATGGCTGCGAGAGGAGGATGTGCCGCTAGATGGGTTTGTACGGCGCTAGGTGATGGGTTTGTACGGCGCTAGGTGATGGGTTTGTACGGCGCTAGGTAATGGGCTCGTACGGCGCTAGGTGACGGATTTGTACGGCGCTAGGTAATAGGCTCGTACGGCGCTAGCCATCCGGGATGGGTTTTGTACGGCGCAAGGATGAGTGGCCTGCAGGTATGGTCCGGCGGGTTGTGTACGAACGGGGGCAGGTGGGTTCGTGGAGTCAACGGATGATCCCAAGGGCTGACTGGGCTTGGACGAACGAACGAATGACCTGATCGTTACAGCAGTGGTTCCCGAAAGGAGAACACGGGTGTTGATGGGGACAGATGGGACAGGTGGGAAGGAGCAAAACCCGCCGTGGGGTCAGACAAGGTCCGGTTAGATGAGGATTGGAAGGGAGGGCATGGGAGCTACCGGTATCCTTACAAGGGGAAAGAGGGTGACCGAGAGGAGCGAGGAGGGAAAAGTGGCTGTGGGTGCTGCAGTCAGCTGGAGACAGCGAGGGGTGGATCAGGTGTGCGGTGGGCTACGGTGGTTGCAAGCTGTGCTGGGGTTCACGAGGTGCTTGCGGTCGGATGTGTTGTGGCCGTGATGCCTGGCGCTGCTGGTGCTGGCGTTGGTTGACCCTGGGGTGCGGTTTCGGAAGCACAGGCATGAGGCATGAGGCTGGCGACATGGGTGCACACGGAGCTTATCCAGATAAGCTTGCTTGCCACAGTCACTGCTATGTAAAAATCGCCAAACTGAGTTGTCCTGACCAAAACGTACATATTTACCGAAAAAAACATAGAGCACCGCCCCAGAACTCCTGTTCAACGACTAGGTAGCCACCACTTGGGAGGAGGAAGGACAGCGCCTTTTCCTACACAAACCCCGACCTGCAGCGGTTTGCAGCCGCATCACGGCAGCAGGCCACACTCTGCACACCAACACGCAACCCAATGCGGCTGTGTCGGCAGCCCTAGCAGGCCTAACAAGCCTACCCGTTTCAAATGCAACCGAAACTCAGTACAAATATCCCGGCGGCTCGACTGGCCAGCACCCACCGTCTGACAAGCAAGCTGTTTCTAGTTCGGCACATGCATGTTTGCTCCTGCTACTGAGCAAAGCAACCATCTTGGCTCACTGGCTCCTCAATATTACTATTTACGAACTCAAAACCGCCATCCCATTATTGTGGATAGGGCAGCTGCTCTCATGCCAAGCATGCTTTACTTCCTAGCAAAGACCTAAGGTACATACAGCCTTAACAGTACGGTACAAGAGCTTAATCGTACAAAACACGAACCACCCTGCGCCTCCTCCCCATCGCACTCACCCGGCCTTCCAACACACACACACATGCACACATGCATGACTTGCGGCCAGTTTTTTAACGCATGCATGACTGCCGTACATAACGTCAAGTGTCCGTTCTACGGATCAGTTGCTTTCATACAAAGAAACAAAACAAACAAACAAACCCACAAACAAACCGACAAGCAAACCCACAAACAAACATGTCAGTTTTGTTAACACACAGGTTTAGGTTATACACCGGTGCACTGCGTGCCTCCCCCCTCACTACCTCCCTCACGCCTCCAGCACCACGTTTTCGTACCCCTTCTCCGCCACCAACCCGTCAAAAAAGGCCAGGATGGCGTCCCTGCGAGCAAGCAGCGCGCCCACCTCCTCCTCGCTCACCGTGTCCCCCAGCGCGGCTCGCAGCGAGGGGGCGTCCAGGAAGCGAAGGCGCAGGTAGGTGCGTGCGGAGATCTGGCGGGTGGGGCCTGCGTGCGTGGGAGGCGAGAGGGAGGCGAGGGCGTTTGGTGCGTGTGCCCATCGAGTGACGAGGAATGTGTATGAGATCAGCACAGCGGTACGCGCACACAAGCGGTACTCTCTTAACGCACTACCCCGCATCTGCATGTGCATGCATTGAAAGCTCCCAAAGGCGGCCCCCCCCAAGCCCCCTTCTCAGGCCCCGCAACACCCGAAGCCGCCCTCACGATCCACGCACGACCGCAATCCCCCAAGGTTTACCAAGCAAGTCCCCCCCTCCCTGCCCCCGCCCCGGCCCTGACCCGCACCCGTAAGGAATGCGTTCTCGTGCTCCAAACTCACGAAGGCGCCCGGCCTGAACCCCGCTGCATGGTCCACCAGCACAGGACTCAGCCGCCCGCGCCAGGCGCCTGAACCACCTCTGGGGTTTATTCCTGCTCCTGCTCCTCCTCCTCCTTGTACCCCTCCTGCTGCTCCTCCGCTGCATGTGGCTGCTCCGGCGGAGCCAGCTGCTGCCCCGCCCCCGTTAGACATGGCACCACCCCGCTGCTGCTGAGGGTGCTGCGGGGCGTGCCTGTCGTGGTGTGGGTGTTGGTGCGGAGGAGGTGCGGGTGGGGTCGCAGGTGGGGTCGCGCTCATGTAGTAGTCCCCGTCCGCCCAGTGCTCCGCGTGCAGGAAGTGGCCGCAGTGGCGGTCGCTGTTCTGAAGCAGCACGTCCTGGAGGGGAGGGCGGGAGGGAGGGCGGGGAGGGGCGGAGAGGCGGGGGGCGAGGGCGGGGAGGGCGGGATTAGGTGAACTGAGCCGCAGGGGGGCGGGAGGGTGGCGCATGGGAGTGCGTGTGTATAAAGTACGAGGGGGAAAACAAGCGGAAAACAAGAGGTTTAAATAATGCACAGGGTCACGGTGGCAAAGGAACCACTGTGACCCTGTCCTGCAGCAGCACGTCCTGGAACCCCACCCCACAACTCCGCTCCCCTCCTGGCTCCCACCCCACTTGACGGCCCCACCCCCCACTTGCTGCCCCCACCCCCCACTTGCTGCCCCCACCCCACACGACGCCCCCACCCCACCCCACGCCCCCCCCACCACCCTGTCCCCACCAGGATGCGAGTGTCGCTCAGCAGTACGGACGGCGGCACACTCCAGGCCGCGGGGGGCACCTCGCTCAGCTGCCGGGCGCCCCCGCACCAGTAGATGAAGGCGCCGCCTGAGGGAGGGGGAGGAGAATGGACCAGGAAGCCCAAGCAGAAGGGGGAAGGTAAAGAAACTAGTTTCCTAGGTACTAGGTTGCATTCAACCTGCTGGTACATGATGTGTTGTAACACACGTGCACACGCACACCGCACACATGCTTCCCTGCAACTCCCAACAGTAACTCCCATCTGCACCTGTACTACAACGGTTATACGCGTGCCTCCCAAACCCACATAACCCCCGCCCTTACCCTCCCCCCCCCCCACACACACCTGCCGGGTAGTGTGTCCAGTCCACATCGCATGCCGGCCGCACCACCGCGGGCGGCACAAGGTCCATTCCCAGCAGCAGGTTCAGCTGGTAGGCGGCCGCCTCCACGGGCACCCGGTGCCAGCCCTCGCAGTCGCCCTCCACTCGCGGCTTGAAGGCGGCGCGCAGCCTGCGTGGTGCGCGGTGCGCGGTGGTGGTGGTGGTGGTGGGGGGGGGGGTAAAGAGCATACCATGTGTTGGGGGTGTCGGTGGGTGGGGATTGACAGGTGGTGGAGATTCCGCACAGGATGTGGCGTGAAGGATTGAATGTGGGTGGGAGAGGGAACTACCGGTGCCAACAGTGGGTTGTGGAGCTTATGGCTTCTCCTCCCTCCTGCCCGCCACCCCACCTTACTTTGTCCTGTGGCGCGCCCTGCCGTTACCTATCCTCAACGCTTTGCCCTACCCTGTGGTTTCCTATGGTCTGGTGTGGTCTTCGACCCACCTTGCGCCCGAGGGCTTGTCCTCCAGGGTCAGCAGGTAGCTCACGTGGCCGAAGGCTGGCGGGCAGTGGGAGGAGGAGGTCGAGGAGCAGGGGGACGGAAAAGGGGGAAGGGGGCGGTAGGAGTGGGTGGGGTTGACGCATCGGGCCGTGATACGGTAGACAAAAGACGGGGTTTGAGCGGACAGCGAACCTGGCTCAGGAAGGGCCAGTCTGTAACGACCCCCCCCCTTCCCTCCAACCCTTCTCACAGCGCCTGCCACCTGACACAACATTCCTCGCCTTTCACCCAGCCCCTAGCCCCCCCCTCTCGCCCCACCGTTCTCCATGCGCCTCGCATCCCGGATGGTCCCATGCCGCAGCATGTGGCACACGAACCCATGTCGCTCCTCGCGACCCATGGGTCCGCTGCCGCTGCGGCGGTTGAGCGACTGTACGGCGCCGGCGGCGGCATCGCGCGCCGCCAGCCAAGCGAGCTCCTCCAGCTCGGAGGGAGCGGCGTGGAGGCGGGAGTCGGTGAGCCTGTGTGCGTGTATGTGTTTTGCGTGTGTGGGATAAGGGTGGGGTGAAGGAAGAAAAGGGTAAGGGCGGGTTAATAAAGGCACCGACTGAGCTGCATGCTATGTGTGGACGTTAACGCAGCGAAGAGAGACTCCGTGTTCGGAGAGATTGGGCGGGAAGATCGGGAACTCTTTTGGCTTGAACCCCAACGCGAACCCCACATGCCCTCACCTCACAGTGGCCTTCAGCGTTACCACACAAGCATTGCTCGTACAGTCCTTTTCAACGGTCGTTGTCGTACAGCAAACGCTCCCAGGGTGGGGATGCATGCAGCGCTCGTCCACGTCAGCTGGAACCGCCTCTGCGGGTGTTGGTGGAGAAGGTGATGGCAACGTTGGTGGCGGATGGCCTGATGCGCTATGGCCGCCTTGGCCGCCGTGATTTGATTCAAGCGAAGCCACGTTAAGCGGGCCTAGGCGAGCTGTGCTTCCAGCGTTCGGCGCATAGCAGCTGAGCGTATCACTGCTTTGCGGCTTTCCGACGCCAGACAATGGCATGGCGGAGTCACTGCAGCAGAGCAAACACGCAAGCGTTACTGCGCAAGCGGTACGCTCAGGCGAAACAACATGACACATGCTTGCGTTCTGGTTGGTTATCGCACCAGCGTAGGCACACCTGTAGGGGCTTTGCGAACATGTCCCGTCAAATGGCCTAGAAGCTGCCCAATGTGGAGTTGCGCTGGTGCCCAAGAGCGTATTGCCCGCCACGACGTTTGCCCCTTGAAGGTCTCCAGGCGCTCGTGTATCCACCAAGGATTCGACACTTCCAGCAAGAGATGTGCTCCATCCAAACGGTTGATCTGCCGCAGTGCACCGCTTGTGAAGACGGAGGAAAAGCGATACGCCTGTGCCACTTCCCTGGCCTATGTCATGACATGTTGGTGTGACGCACGGAGGTATCGTCACTGGTCGGGGTCTAGAGAGCGCTGGATGTGGGAGAGAAAAGATTGACGACATCTTACGCAACTAATTTGTAGCAATGGTCTATGCCAACCTTAACAAGATAATTGAGGTATGACCTATTCCGTCTCGAAAGGACTTATTACATTTTACGGCCCAAAGCATTGTCCCAAAGTAATCGGTCAGAAGCCAGCTAACCAACTTTAGACTGTCAAAGTTGAGAAATGGTCGTTTTCAGCCATTCCAAGAAACTAGAGGTGTCGGTGTTCGCACTAAGCGGTTGGTCCGTCGATGTACGGTAAGGTCAGTATGCATGGGCGCGTCACGATACAAACGGCATCGCACTTGTAATGTAAGAGACACTTGTGTGCAAGTTCTGTTACGTGGCCTAATCTGCACACCCAAGCGCTGCGGAAAGCAAAATCCAAAAGATCGCGTCAGCTTTATGCTTGAAAGCCAGAGCTGTTGAACTACTCCGCGAGCCACTACCCTAGCTTAAGATTTCCTGTAATATAATTGCGGTGCAGTATACTAGCTAGTGTGACTCGCCCATATGCGACAAAAGCCTAACCAACGCGCGCGAAGCCATGTGGCCTTGGCCCATGGTTGCCCGCCGCCGCTTTACTCTATTGAACCGAAACTTGCAAGTTACCATGCCAAGTACTGTTAGTATGTCCTACATGTCATGTTGCTAGTATCGGTTCATGACTTCGGATCCAACTTCGCGTTGCCGTAACTTGCCTGAGCTACAGGCATTTTCCGCGGTGAGGTGTTATGCAAAGGTTCGACCGCAGCTACTTCGTCTAGCTTCTGATGTAGACTTACTACGACTCAGGCCAACTCAGGCAGGGATAGCCAGGCGCGTACAGTAGTCCATCTACAAACGCGGCATTGGTTTGCACTTCCGCATTCAACAACCAATCCAGAACAGATAAGCAATACAGCAGGCTTTAGGTAATGCATCACACATTAACCAATACGGTGTCTGAAAGCAGACAACATAGTGACCAAAACCAATGTTTGAATCCGCCAGATGTAGCGGACTTCTGCTGGACCGGTCTGCCCACAGAGCTGCTGCACGTTATCCTAGGCTTCCTTCCAGCGAATGAAGTAGCTCTTTCCGTTCGCCTGGTCAACAAGGCCACCGCTGCGGCATTCCAAAGGCCCCAATCCACCACCGTGCGGCTGTCACAGCCCTCTCCACATCACGCCTTTGCCCAGCACTGGAGCACCCCTGGTGCCATGTGGGGCCTATCCTTCAAGCAACGCCTGAAGCTGCTGTGCCTGACGGCCCGCAGCGGCAGCTTACCTAACCTTCAATTGGCAGCCGAACATGCGGGAATCCTGCTGGATACGGAAGACTGTGGTGAAGTGCTCGAAGCCGCAGCAGCCGCAGGGCACCTGCCTGTGTGCGTTTGGCTGCGACAGCAGGGCTGCCCATACCGCAAGGCCCTCGACAACGCAGCACGGGCCGGCCAGCAGGCCGCATGCCATTGGCTGCTGTCCAACGGCTGCCCCTGGAGCCGGCAGGCGGTGTACGCTGCGGTTCGCGGGGGCCGTGTGGGCCTGATGGAGTGGCTGTGGCAGCAGCGACCGCCGGAAGGGCAGGGAAAACCAGACCTATATCAGCTGCTAGAGGCCGCAGCCGAGGGTTGCAATCTGGTCACGTTGAAAAGGTTGTACGACAAATGGCATGGCGAGCTGCTATGTTGGGAACAGACAGCAGCCCTGGCGACAGCCGCAGCCGGCAGCCCCACACCTGACTGGCAAGCCAAGGTTATCTGGCTGGGGGAGCAGGGCGATTCGCCCTGCGGCTACGTCTGCAGGGGCTTCACCTCCCGCCCTGACGCGTTGGCCCGCCTGACCTGGCTACGGCATCATGGCTACCAGTTGGACTCGAGTGTGTTCGTCTGGGCTGCCTACCATGGTCACGCAGACGTGCTTCACCTCGTGCTGTCTTCGGTGGGCTTCTCGGATCCCATCGCGCTATCCTGCTCTGCTATGACGGCAGCAAACAGGGGCCACCTTGGGGTGTTGCAGCTGCTGCATGCCCAGGGATTCACGCTGGACCGATCGGTTCTGCGGAATGCGGCGATGTACGGGCACATGGGCTTGGTGGCGTGGCTGGTGGAGGAGGCGGGGCTGCTGGGACAGCTGGATGTCGACGTGTTTACAGCGGCTGCACGCTCGGGTACCTTGGAAGTGCTGAGGTGGCTGAGGGCACGAGGCTGCCCCTGGGATGGCAGCGCCTTTACTGCTGCTGCCAAGGCTGGATGCGGGGAGGTGCTGGAGTGGATGGTGCAGGAGGGCTGCCCAATGGAGGTGAGCATGGCAGGCGGTGTGTTACAGCTGCTATGGCTGCTTTCAAGGGGAAGCAAACACAGTGCGGTGCAACCCCATGCACACGAAGCAATCTTTTGCACCACCCGCTGCTGCTGACCCATGCGCCTGCTGCTGCTGTTACTCCATGCTGACCCATGGCCCTTGCTTGCTGCCCAATGCCCCTGCTGACCCGTCCTTTTTGGGCGGAGCCCCCGCCGCGAAGCGGCTTCGGGGGGGCTCGCCCCCCAGGGTTGCCCCTGTCCGTGTGTCCGTCGCCGGAGCAATGTAGCGACGTCGGAGGCCGACGTGACCGTAAATCCCCCCGTAACGAAGTGAAGGGGAGGATTGGAGGACAGATCACCGCTAAAGTTTGTCTGTCCGTCTGTGACCGTAAATCCCCCCGTAACGAAGTGGAGGGGAGGATTGGAGGACAGATCACCGCTAAAGTTCGTCTGTCTGTCTGTCTGTCTGTCCGTCCGTCTGTCTGTCCGTCCGTTCACAAAAGGGGTGGCAACGACCTTAAGGCGCTAAGCGTTCAGTCCTGTCCTCAGCCAGCCAGAGGTCTCCAGTTCGAGCCAGGTAGCGACCTCTTGGCGACTTCCTTGGCACCCTTGGAGATGATGCCTGGGCCTATGGGGATGGTGTTCTGGGAGATCTCGAATACGACAACACACTGTACGGCAGCAAACTGTACGGCACAGTTGCCACGCAGTATGGTGACACATCATGTGGTGTACGACATGTACGACTATGTACGACAGCTGTACGGCAGTGTACGACAGCATACGACAACTGTTGTACGCTTGTACGGCATCTGTACGGCATGGGTTTTGACACGCCCTCCCACCCCCCTCCGTGCTCCCCACTCCCCTCATCACCCCCTCATCACTCATCATGCCTGGCATCATCAGGATGGTGTCCTGGAGGACAGATCACCGCTAAAGTTCGTCTGTCTGTCTGTCTGTCTGTCCGTCCGTCTGTCTGTCCGTCCGTTCACAAAAGGGGTGGCAACGACCTTAAGGCGCTAAGCGTTCAGTCCTGTCCTCAGCCAGCCAGAGGTCTCCAGTTCGAGCCAGGTAGCGACCTCTTGGCGACTTCCTTGGCACCCTTGGAGATGATGCCTGGGCCTATGGGGATGGTGTTCTGGGAGATCTCGAATACGACAACACACTGTACGGCAGCAAACTGTACGGCACAGTTGCCACGCAGTATGGTGACACATCATGTGGTGTACGACATGTACGACTATGTACGACAGCTGTACGGCAGTGTACGACAGCATACGACAACTGTTGTACGCTTGTACGGCATCTGTACGGCATGGGTTTTGACACGCCCTCCCACCCCCCTCCGTGCTCCCCACTCCCCTCATCACCCCCTCATCACTCATCATGCCTGGCATCATCAGGATGGTGTCCTGAGATGTGGTGTCGTACGGCAACGCAGTACGGCATGGGTTTCGGCACGCTCTCCCACCCCCCTCCATGCTCCCCACTCCCCTCATCACCCCCTCGTCCCTCCAGCACCTCTGACCGCCCCTGCATCACCATGAGGTGTACGGCAACGCAGTACGGCATGGGTTTCGGCACGCCCTCCCACCCCCCTCCATGCTCCCCACTCCCCTCACCACCCCCTCGCCGCTCTAGCTCCTCTGACCACCCCTGTCGTACAGCGACATGGTACGGCATGGCTTCGGGCACCACGATGGCCAATCTTCTTGTTGCAATATCTTGCATTGTGATGTCGACTAAGCTATAACTAAGTTAATGAGCCATTCGCAGTTTCTTGGTTACTTTCCAAAATCAGCGTAAAACTGTTTGGTGACCGTAACCACCCCCCTCCATACTCCCCACTCCCCTCACCACCCCTTCCTCGCTCCAGCTCCTCTGAACACCCCTGTCGTACAGTGACACGGTACGGCATGGGTTCGGGCACCGTGTGCCGCCGGTCTCCTTGTTGTGATGTCTTGCATTGTAATGTCGATTAAGCTATAACTGATTTAATGAGCCATTCACAGTTTCTTGGTTACTTTCAGAAATCGGCGTAAAACTGTTTGGTGACCGTGACCACCCCCCTCCATGCTCCCCACTCCCCTCACCACCCCCTCCTCGCTCTGGCTCATTTGATCACCCCTGTCGTACAGCGACACGGTACGGCATGGCTTCGGGCACCACGTATCACCAATCTTCTTGTTGCAATATCTCATTGTGATGTCGACTAAGCTATAACTAAGTTAATGAGCCATTCGCAGTTTCTTTGGTTACTTTCCAAAATCAGCGTAAAACTGTTTGGTGACCGTGACCACCCCCTCCATACTCCCCACTCCCCTCACCACCCCTTCCTCGCTCCAGCTCCTCTGAACACCCCTGTCGTACAGTGACACGGTACGGCATGGGTTCGAACACCGTGTGTCGCCGGTCTCCTTGTTGTGATGTCTTGCATTGTAATGTCGATTAAGCTATAACTGATTTAATGAGCCATTCGCAGTTTCTTGGTTACTTTCAGAAATCGGCGTAAAACTGTTTCGGCGACGGATATGGCTTCGGCAAAAGTAAATCGGCGCAAGTTGCAAGCTGGTTTCGGCAAGAAGCGTGGTTGTGAAGTCGGCGCATCTCCTGAAAAGCGCCGATTACTGATCGCCGAAAACTATGGTTGATCAGCGATCGCTGATTGGCGAATGCTGTCAGGGGTGGTCGCAGTGAAAGTTTCTTAGATTTCGGCGCAATTAGCCTGGCATCGGCAAAAGTCTTTCGGCGCAATTTGCAAGCTGGTTTCGGCGACAAGCACGTTCGTTAAGTCGGCGCATTTCCTGAAAAGCGCCGATTACTGATCGCCGAAAACTGTGGTTGATTCGGCGATCAGTAATCGGCGCA